TATTTTTTTTTTTTACTGCTATAGACGTTTTGTATTTTTTGGATGTGTGAGGATTGGAATATGCTTCCTCAGTTGTGTTCGGGAAGGGGGGTAATCCTATACTGATGTTGAGTAAAAATAAATTATCATTTGATTACGTCCCTTAGTTTATTGTATTTTATTTTATTTTATTTTTTTTATTCCATTGTTATTTACATTGCTGAAAATAGAAAGTGAAAAAAAAAGCCCAACATGCTAGTATTAGAGTATTTTGAACATCTTAAATTTTGTGGGGAGTCCTAAAAAACAGATGTTCACTTTTCCATCGCACAATCTTATCTAGGGTTAAAATTGATTTTATAATGCCTGATGAGACAACTGGGTTTTTTTTCTGTTGCTGAATAACTAGGCTTGAAATGATGTAAGAAGTTTTATAAAAGACAGATTCAACATGACAATAGTGAATTGAAGTGAGGAGAATTCGTGTACTGGTACATGTAAAATGCCTTCCCCAAAGACACTATCGAACCCTGACTGGGTTTGAACCCATGACCTTTCAGACTAACCACTAGACCACCAACCCCACTAATTTTGCTCTCTAGCCCGTAAGTCTGCTCCCTCTGATGATTATATATGTCATGACGTCACCCAATTTCCCCTACCACCATAAATGTTAGAATAACATCAAGAGGCTAGCCCAGGATAGAGAAAGGTGGAAAGTGTTTGTCCATGGCCTGTACCCTGGTACAGGGTGAGAAAGTGTTTGTCCGTGGCCTATACCCTGGTGCAGGGTGAGAAAGGCAATGATGGCCATAAATGTACTCACACTAATGATGTCACCAATTATCTTCCCCATAAGTCCACTCACTCTGACAATGTCACTGCTCCCACTGATGATGTCACCAATTATCTTCCCCATAAGTCCACTAGAGAGGTGGGCAGAGTAAGTCTGATTCCCCGTTTGGACTTCTCTGTTGACATCCACCCCTTGGAGCTCATATGACCTTATGCAGTTGCGAGCACCGTAAAACCTTACTAAAAAAAAAATTTAAAAATAAGTTTGCTCACACTAATGATGTCATCAGGGTAATTTGCTGAGTGGGAACTCAAAGCGCTACGGAGGAAAACACAGCCATGTTGTCAACTTGTCCTGCATCTTGTACCTCTGTCTGCCTCTGCCTCTCTTTCCATCAAACTTGCCTGTTACAATATTCTCCAAGATAATATTATATATGTCACCAAATTTCTCCTACCCCATACATCCGTGTGGGTGGTTGGCGGGTGCTCTGGTGGGGTTTGCTCCTTTTTTCCTATCAAACATCTATCGACCTGATCTCTTCTTCCTTCTTTTTTGTATACGTTACTCTCTTGTAACACCTCCAATCTTAGGCACTTATATGACCTTATTGTGTTGCAAGTGCCGTAAAACTCTTACTAAAACTAAACGTAAGTCCACTCACACTGATGATATTAAATATGTGTGGGTGGTAGGCGGGTGCTCTGGTGCGGTTTGCTTCTTCTATCCTATCAAACATCTATCGTCCTTATCTCCCCCTTCTTCTTTTTCATGTTTATTACTCTCTT